TGTGTATAGTGTAAAGCGCTTTGGGGTCCTTAGGTATACAAATACAGGCCATTTATGTCTCAAGACAGCATCCTGGAGAATCTGACCTCCATACCTCATTTAGTGAGGATGAAATTCCAGGCTAGGATACAGTTATGTAAAAGAAGGAAGGGAGGCAGGGAGGAGGAAAGCATGTGTAGTGGTGTAAGACAGAGAGGGTGAGCCAGAATCTTCTCGTGCACCTGTAAAAGCACACTGTGTTTACATGCGTGTTAGGTTTTCTGCCTGAATTGCTTTGGACACACAGGCAGCACAGAACATGCTCCACATGTCTTACGTTGTCTGCATGTCCTGGACAAATATTAACATAAATGTATAAATTGCCAAACTTTCGGCAACAAAATTAATTTCATGGCTGCAAAGTAATTGTAAGTTACCACAACAGCAGTAGGCATGCTGTTCAGAAACACTGGTGTTTGTGTAGCCATAAACAATTCAACTTTCAATTCTATTCAATTTTATTTATATAGCGCCAAATCACAACAACAGTCACCTCACGGCGCTTTATATTGTAACGTAGACCTACAATAACACATACAGAGAAAAACCCAACATCTGTCCTCGCTTGAGAAGCTAGTCAGAAAGACACTCTAAGCCCCAGAGGCCTTTGTTTTGTGCGCGATCAATCATCTACCTGGAGCCCCGTTGCTGTCCAGCTGTCTGAACAAACTATGTCGACCAATCATGTTAACATTATGTGTTTGCCTGGGTGCAGCAGTCTTTTGTCTCTGAGCCACAGAGAGCAGGTCCATGGTGCTATGTAAAATTCATTTCAAATTCTGTTTTGATAATAAATTGAGAAAACTGATAATTGGAGTGTGTTTGTCTTCTCTCTCTCATTAAAAAAAACCCTACACCGACCATTAATTAATGTTTCAGTCTTAAATATGGTCAGTCTGTTTCTATTAATGGCCTACAAAGCACAGACCTTCAAGCTGGCAGTAAACAACCATCAGCTGGCCCAGCTGTCTTAGCTACTTGTTGGACAAACTGAAAACCTTTTGAAAGAGTCGTTGTAAACAGTTAACTGATGACTGACTCTCCATCAGGTTTCAGAACTCCAATAATATTATTATGACCTCTGACAGTGGACTCCGCTCTGTGCTTGTCCTCAGTGCAGCGTTCAATACTGTTGACCATAATATTTTATTACAGGCCTTTGTGTCTTTGAGTTACAGCAGTTTCTTGGCGAATGATGAAAACTTGACGTGCCGCCATGAACATGCCGTTTCACAAAACCTTAAAACCTTTGCAATTTATCATTAAATTCAAAATGTCTGACTTCCTGTTGGGTTTAACATGTGGCTCCAAGAGACTGTTTTGCATGTCTTGATATCGTACATCAGGCGGTCAGAGGATGGGCCTCATCTACCAAGCTACTAAATTTAATCCAGTTAGTTACAGAGTGCATCTAGAGGACAGCTGACCGATAGAGCCGAGGGAATAGACACTATCATTTCTGCAGAATCAATTGCTACAGACTTCCGAACTTCATATAAATATCAAACTTGGCTCAAGAACAGTGCATAAATAGCTTCGTGGAATGGGCTTCCATAGCCTAGTGGCTGCATCAAAGCCTTACATCACCAAGCACAAAGCAAAACATGCAGCCACTGGACTCTACAGCAGGGGATATGTGTTGTCTGCAGTGATGAATCATGCTTCTTGCATGAGTCTTTGCCAGGACAACAATACCTGTTGGTAAAATAAAGTGGAGCAAATGCACTTATATGTGACCCACAATGTTTTAAAATTGTTCCTGTGCTTCTGGGCTGGTTTAACCTTCGCTAGAGTTGAACCAGTCTTTGTGGTTTTAATTTAGTGGAATATGAGCTCGATGGAACAACAGAGTCCAGGACTGCAGTGTAAGTACCATTAAACAATGGATCTTGACAGTTCAGTGTAGAGTCTTGGCTCTAGCAAACAGATCTGCAGTTGTACATGTGATTGGAGCATGGATCATGGGTGCTGGCTGTGGCATCAACTTCAAAAACGACAGGCATTGGTCAGAGAAAGTCACATCCTCAACACTACAGCAACAAGATTAGATCAAGCATAAGACCCAGCTCGTGATTGGATCCAGCAACCGTGATATTAACATAATCAAGAATTAAATACTGTCACATTTAGACTACTTTAGGCTACGTTCACTCTGCAGGTCTTGATGCTCAATTCAGATTTTTTGATCAAATCCGATTTTTCTGTCTGCTTCTTCACACTACAAATAAAATGCGACAGCAAACACGCTCTAGTGTGAACGCTCAAAGCACCCGCATGCGCAAAAGAAGACGTCACACACAACGCGCTCTGTTTAGACCCAGACCAACAGTGTTGTTTGACTGAAGGACCTTAAGACTTGTTTCTGACTTTACGTTTCCCAATTTTTGCTTTAAGTTATTTTGTTATCTACATTTGGCCTAATAATGATCCTTATTGCTGTTTTAGAGGAGCGCTGCTTCAAAGGATAGCTGCAGATTTCTGTCAGAATCTGCAGATTATACAGAACAAAGAAAATGTTCACGTTTCTCCAGCGTTGTCCTCCCAACAGTTTCACCGGATGGACAGGAAGCGTTCGCGATGTCTTCTCCGGCGCTGATAGTTGGCGTCTGTCTTGTGTCAGTGACATAAAAGACGGATTTAATGCGACGTGACCGTCAAACAGCAGTCGCAGATTTGTATCGTATTCAGCACCACATACCAAAGTGACCCAGATCGGATTTGTGCCGTTCACACTGTCACACCATGATCGGATAGATGGGTCGCACAGGGTCAGAAAAGTCTTTCGCCTGCAGTGTGAACGTAGTCTTAGTTAACAATTCAGAAAACTCCAAGATAAAATTATTATGTCCTTAATTTGGCCATACATACCGATTTGTGAAATTTTAGCTTCATATTTCAAATAGTTTGCAAGAGGCATGTTTTTAAATGGACCGAATTCCAGCATGTTATTCTCACGTTTTAAACTCTGAAGCTATGTTTGAACATAAGTATCTCAAAAACTAAAAACTCCAACATGAAATTAATACAACTGAATAAGTATCTGTAATTTATGAAAATTCAAGCCATGCTATGAAGCCTGATGTTTGAGGACACACTAATACAGAAAAAAGAAAATCACATTTCAAACGACACCTACTGACAATTTCTGATTGGTATGTATATTTGTATTTTGCAATAATGCAAAATTAACCTTTTAGAATCATTTTTACACTCTGCCAGTGTGAGCCAGGTATACGGTCACGTTGCTTCTGGGAAGTCTGAGCTGTTCAGCCCTTGCTGAAATGATTCACTAACCCTTGCACAGGCAGGTAAAAGTGTCCTTTTTTCTGTTAAACAACACGTTACCCAAGGCCTGAGCCATTTTACCTCCACACAAAAGAGTCGTTTCTTTTAGAAGATATCTGAAAGTAGAGTGCAATTCAAACTTGCAAGGTCATAAAATCATTCATCATCATCAGCGCATAAAACATGTATGTAGAATAATTAAACAGTCCATTAACAGTCCATATTTGTTCATTCAGCTTAAGTAACTTTCCTCCTACATCTTTTCATCTTCCACAATGTGTTTCTGCTGCGTGAAGCAAGAACCAAAATCTTAGAATCTGGCAACTACAACCTACAGTTTTAAAAGGTACAATGGATTTTAAGTGCTGCAAAGATTTATTTAATATGTTTTTGCTGTAAAGTTTGCACTTGGGTCTGGGTGTAATTTGTGTCCATCTTTCCACTAAGTTAGTTTTCAATAGCATACAAATTATTTTCATCCACATCCATAGGAGCTGGTCAAACTGGGGTCAGTTGGACCAGCAGTTAACCCATTACAGAATAAGTGACTGCAACAGAGATGGTGTAATCAAGAGTCCAATGTCAAACAGACGGAAACAACTCGAGATGTCAGAGATGAGCCAGCGTATTCTATGCTACATTTTGCTCTTATTTCATCCTGACTTGTTCTAATGCCATGCACAGAAAAAACTAATAAGGTGCTTGTTTGTCTGCATTTATTATAGAAACTTTGCTTATGCAAAACTGCCATGGAGATTTGTTTATTATAAACCAGCTGATTGCAAAAAAATCCAATGGCTGCTAAAGTGTTTTTAAATTGATAAAAAAAAAGCTCATAACATTTTTTTTAACCATTGACTGCATTACGTGGGAACAATAGCAACCATACCCAAAAGGTTTTTACCCCGAACAGTTTTGTAGGTCTAAGCCTGAGGTATATCCATCTGAAGCTAAAATGATCTAAAACTGAACTAAACTAGATGTGAGAAATATTTTTAGATATTTTGAATTTAAAAAAGATCTAAACTAAAAAGCTTTACTAAACCGCATACTAGTTTAATAAAAAAAAATCTATGCAAATTGAAATCAAAATCTATAGCTAATATCTTTTGCTGTATTCTTTGGTAATGGGGTTAAATCTGTCAGCCTGCCTGATCAGGCTTCAGTGAATGATCACACAAAGTGTTGTTTGTACTGCATCTAATTTTAGATAATTGTGTGGTGAAGCACATTATCTCCACATGCAGTGTAGTGTTCCCTCAGAATTATCATCATCAAGGATTCCTGCTGTATGGATCATGAAATAAGAACTTCAGCCGCTCTACTTTACATTTTAGTTCATGTTGGTTCCCAGCCTGCAGCCAGATGTCAAGTGGTGTAGAAGATTAAAAAATAAATAAATAAATAAATAATGATAAAAAGTTAAACTAGAGGTAGTTTAGCATTGGACCCGAGGGCTGGCACAGAAAGCAGCAGTGAAACAACGAGTGTGTTTTTAGGACAGCCGTGCATGGCCCAGTGCCTCCTTAGTAATGTGTGCTTTCTCTGCCTACAGCATACACGGTTTGAATCTGCACAAAACCTGCAGTGCACACACCACAACAGTCGCACTCATAAACGCCAGCATTTGCGTGAAGTCCTACCTTCACCGCCTCTATGTGAGTGACGTTGTCAAACAGGATGTCATTAGCGGCCACTATCTGGTCCCCGACTCTCAGTCCTTCTCTCTCAGCCGATGAGCCTGGCTCCACTAGGGACACATAGATGCCTACGCCGTGCTCTGAACCACCTCGAACGCTGAAGCCCAGACCCTCGTGGCTCCTGGAGCGCGTGAGGGTCACTTTGCGCGTATCTCCAAAGGGGCCCACGCAGAACGGTGGGACCACGCACGCAGCGAGTTCAGCAGCTGCGCTTAAACCGTCCGGGCAGCCCGACGACGACAGGACCTGCTCAGGGATGGAACTGGCAGCTGAATCTACCTCACCCGCAAAGTCCTCTGCGATGCCGTTGCTGGGGATGAGGTCCGACTTCAGATAGAGCCCCTCGGACGTGTACTGATCGAACAGCAGCTGGTCGGACCTCGGGATGACCAGGCGCAACATGGGCAAGAGGTGCCGTTTGTCTGGCGTGTTGAGAATCACTTTAAGAGTTTGAACCAAGTCGAAGACGTTGCGCTTGGCGTGGTAAACATTGAGACAGTGGATGAACTGCTCTCTCTCCCGGTCATTGAGCAGAATATTGAGAGCTTTGTGCAGCCTTCGGACGTTAGTCGAGAGCGCACGGCCGCCCAAGACGATCGAGTTCAACGACGTGTTGAGCGAAACGCTCTCGAGGTCAGCGCTCATCCTACAACATAACAGAGCGTCATACAGATACGAGGTTTGACCGTGAATATGATCAAATTCACCTCAAGTCGGCACTCCTCCTTAAAAGTAAAACTTGAAACGCGCATCAGACAGTTTCAGCAAGTGCCACGCACACGATGTGTCACCTCGAAACAAAACATTTCCACAGCCGATGCCCGTATTCATCTGGCTCTGAACAAAGCAATATGTCCCCGCGTGTTTTATTCCATGCACAGCGCCAGCTCCACCGCCGTCCACGGAAAGCTCTCCTTATCAATATACACAATCTAACTGCACCTCATTCCAACATTTGATTCATTTTCCCTGCAGCTCGATCAGTTCTCCCAGCAAACTCAGCGCGCAGAGTGGAGCGCTGAACTCAACGCGCTGACCCTTTATATAGGAAATGACGCAGGTGCGCGCGTGTGTGTGTTGCTAAGAAACTGACAACACTATTCACCCTTATTTAAATTATTATGTTGGGCAATTCATTACCTAATATTTTAGGCCACAGTGTAGATGAGCCGACCTGATGAACAAAAACAGATCCCTGTTCTGTCCAATCGAGATTTATCCAGACAACTTAAAAACAAAGTGTAGGCTGGATCATCCACATGCATATAATAGTAGGTGTCGACTTATCAGTCTTTAAGCTGATAAAGCAAATATCTCTCAGAGGCATAACTAAAGCGTTTTCTAAGCAGCAGTTTATAGGAGCCTCCTCATGAGAGCAAGACTGTCTCACAAAACATTTGTGTTGCACTATTGTGCTGCTGAGGGGACACTGACAGCACAGCATGACTCCATCCAGATAAACAAAAGATCATAAAAGCCCCTTTGGCATGAAATCAGCCCCGGGTTCCCTGTGTGATCCTACAGAATAAATGTGTACCGCCTACTGTTTTCCACATAGTGGCTGATCACGGTAAATTTATTTAACAGTTGTTTATTAAAATAGACAGCAATAAACGTTTAAGACATAAATAGAAACTTCCATTGGCTGACACTTAAAAAGAAGAAAAAGTCAATTTAACTTCTGGGATATTGATCTGGTCCATTAAGTAGCAGCAAGGGTCGTTAAATCGGTTTCAGCTGCTTCTGTGTTAATGAAATGAACAACAGAGAGACTAGAAGGACAACAGCAGGATGGCTGTAGCTCAGGGAGTAGAAGGTCGTCCACTAATAGGAAAGGAGGGAGCTCAGTTAGCCTTGTATTCAGGCATTTTACAGAGAAGGAGACACAAATTGCAGTGTAAGTCATTCTATGGTGTAAATAATGTTAAGTAGTAATTTCATGGTAATTTAAGGAAAACCAAACAATATTTCCAAATCTTACAGTGTAAGTAAGCTGCACTTTTCAGGACACAGGCCATATTATGGAGTAACTTCATCTTGTTATCCAGGTATTTTACACTGCTGAAGTCATTTGTGTATAATGAATATTCTACTAATCAACTGTCTTTTTATATGAAATACAAAATAACACTGTGATGAGAACTTTTCTGCCCCTCTTATTTGATTTTATACATTGATACATACAATCAACCTTTGCAGGACTCACCTGAGCATATAATAATACAGGCAAGGTGAGTTTCATTAACCTTTTTAATTAAAAACAAAAACATCAAACTGAACAACTGAACTTTGTGAGCGAGGATAGCACACTGAAGCTTTCTCCTTTCAAAGGACAACTGACAACAACATGAAATTAGAGTTTGGCACAGGATCCTTCTGTGACCAAGAAAACAGGCCTGGACCCCTTTTTTCTTCAGAGCTGTCTTAATTCTTTGAAGGTCAGATTCAACAAGGAGCTGGAAACATTCCCCAGACAAGACATGAGATGCCATCTGAATACTAAATGTTCAAAGAACCAGTTTGAGATCATTTACGATTTGTGATCACCATCTCCTGCTAGAAGCATCCACACCGACAAGATATTTTCCCACAGAGAATATTTTCACACATCCTCAGGGTGGTTATGGGGGGAATGCCAGCATATCTGAACAATCATGCAATACTCGGAGTCCTTGAAGGGACTTTTCTTTCCCATTCTTACCCTTGGTTTGAATATCAATAGGCTGTTTTGACCTTGTCTACATGCATGCAAACACACAGAGTTGTTCCTGAGGTCGTAGGTTAATGGCTCAGTGCTTGGTTAAAACATATTTACATACTACATTTACTTTTGTATGAGAGAAGAATGACAAAGTCAGTAGAAATATTTTTTAAGTACATGTTAGGGCATTACACTCTTTTCATTTTATGTCAACAAGGTGAATAGGTGAGGTGTTCTCTCAGTGACATAGTGTCCCATGTCTCTCTCCAGCTCAACAACTGCTACACATAAGTCCTTCTAAGTCCTTCTTTGCCGTCATCCCATCCTCTCACTTCTCTCCTTCCCCCCTCAACCTCCCTTCCTGCGCCGGACCAAAGACAGGGGGAGGGGAAGAGACCTGGGAGGGTGAAAGCTATGCCTCTAACCTCCCATATGGATTTTGTCCAATAATACACAAAAGAGGCAATGAACCGGGACCAAAAGCCATTCATTAAATCAAATTAAAGGCATTCACTCTAATGTGTCGGCTTTTTTAGGAAACCACCAAAATATCAACCTGCAGTGACGGGTCCAAGAGCACCAGCCAGAGTCCTCCTCCTGTAGTCAGAGCTCTGGATGACTGCAGGGGCACCCCCTGGGGGAGGTCGGGCAATGGACTCAAATCCAAAGGGTGAAAGGAGCTCATGTAGAAAAAGGTGGTGGGAAGTGACAACAGCATGATGATAGCAAGGTCTGTGAGCCATAGTATGGCTGAGTACAAAGTGGCGGCGACCTCATCTGACCCCAAAAATATCCACCCCGCTGAGCCTCCAGCCAGACCCGCCTCCTCCCAGGGGAGAACCCGAGAGACGACAGAGGGTGAGAAGGAGAGACACAAAGGAAGAACAGTGAACAGGGCATAGGTATCATCCCAATTATCATAATGCTAGAAAAGGGAGGAAAATTATGGATTGGGAATTCTGAGGAATAAACCAATTTGGTTCATTAAAACCAAGTCTTCATTTTGTGCTTCTTAAGCCATTCAGAGGTGGACCTGCTGCTGTGTTTGGATCATTGTCCTGCTGCAGAACCCAAGTGAGTTTAAGCCGGAGATTCTCCTTCACAAAGCTTTGGTAGACGGAATAATTCATGGTTCCTTTTACTACGGCAAGACTTCAGGTCCTGAGGCAGCAAATGATGCTCTTCTGAAATGTTGTGGTACTTTTACGCCAGATGTCATAGAGCAGCGGTCCCCAACCTTTTTTGTGCCACGGACCGGTTTATGCCCGACAATATTTTCACGGACCGGCCTTTAAGGTGTCGCGGATAAATACAACAAAATAAAACCAGTACTGGTACCAAAAAAAGAAGATTTATTCATAACACACGTAAAAGACCCAGGAAAACAGAGTAAATGATAAAAACGATAACAAAATAACGCTGAAAACCGATAAAAACCCTGAAAACCAGACATTTCACACCTGAGCCTCAACTCTCGCGGCCCAGTACCAAACGACTCACGGACCGGTACCGGTCCGAGGCCCGGGGGTTGGGGACCGCTGTCATAGGGCACACACCTGCCGAAAAGTTCAACTTTTGCCTCATCAGTCTCGTCAGAATATTTTCCCAAATGTCTTGGGGGATCACCGATATGTTTTCTGGCAAAACTGAGACAAGCCTTTGTCTTGGGTCCTTGTCATGCACTTATGGTGGAGTCATGAACACTGACCCTCACCTGCGGTTCTTCAGATGTTGTTCTGGGGTCTTTTGTGAGGAATCGTCCCTGCACTCTTGGAGTCATTGTGGTCAGCCAGCCTGGGGAGGTTCACCGCTGTTTCATATTTTCACCATTTGTGGATAACGGCTCTGACTGTGGTTCACTGGAGTCCCACAGCTTTAGAAACCGCTTAATAACCTTTATAATTGATAACCCTAACTAAATAAAGCTTAATAACCTTTATAATTGATAACCCTAACTAAATAAAGCTTAATAACCCTAACCCAGACAGACAGATCTCAATTACTTAGTTTCTCATTTGTTCCTGAAATTCTGCTGCCACTTTGTGTCGACCGAAAGGTCCTATTTAAGTGTTTTGTTTGGGTGGGCCTGGGTGTGGCTAGAGAAATTGAATTCTGTTTTTCAGAGATGTGACACACCACAATTAATTTTTGCTATCATTCGGGGTCACTTGTTCATACAGGGCCATGTAGGTTTGGAGGCCAAGGAATAAAAGTGGGTTTTCAATTGAATTTTGAAAGTGTCTAAAGTGTCTAAAGTGTGACAAACATACAAAAAAAAGGAAATAGGAAAGGGGCAAACAGTTTTTCATACCGTGATAAATATACTCTTCAATAAAGTGATTGAATTTCTGCTGTTATTGTCATGTGTTTATAAATGTCGTTTATCTTCTGCTTTACCTCGTGATTCAGGTCCTTTATGTTTTATCTTGTCTTCTTAGTTTTGTTACTGTCGGGGTTTCCTTCTGTTTATTCCCATTGTGTTTCCATTCTGTTCCTCCTTCTGTGTCTTTGTTTTGCTGTGATCCCCAGTGTTGTCCGTCTGTCTTCCCCTGTATCAGCTCTTCTGTTTAGTTGTGTCTTACTTCCTGTTTTATTTTTAGTAGTTGTGTCTTTGTGTCTTGTGTTCACTTTAACTTGCTTCCAGTCTCATTAAACTATTTCTCTCCAGGTGTGTGTCCACAAGTCATCTCTCCCCTTTATTTCCTCCCTCAGTCTTCCCTTGTTCGTTGTTGCATTATCCTCAAAGCTGTGTTCTCCAGCTCTGGTCACTAGATTGTTGTTTATCTCCTTCATCTGTGTTGCCTACAATAAGTTGTGTTGTTTGCAATTACTGTTGAAGATGTACTCTGAGTTGTAACTCGTTCCCTTACTAATTAACTGATACAGATGGTTAGGACGTAATGAAATCTAAAATTATTACATTATCCTGCTTAACTTGTGTTTCAAAAAGAGGGTCGTCTGGCTGTTTCCTCACTACACACAGAACATTTGTTGACTGCTTTCACTCTCTTATGTAAAGCTGATACGATTCCCATCCTTTCTGCTGTGACAGGGGGATGTGGGCGCTGATTCTGTGCATTCAGAGAGTACTGCAGTAATTAGAGGTCTCTGTTTGATAAGCCATCTGAATGGCTGCATCAACAGCTGTCTGCTCACACATCACAGACAGCATTTTACATCTACCATTTGTGATGACGGCTAAAAGCACCTGACA